GGAGGGGGCGGGGCTGAGCGTGGAGCCCAGCTGGGTGGGGGAGAGGGGGGAACAGTGAACGGAGGGCGAGGGGTGGGGCTTGCAGGCGGGAAGGTGGAAAAATGGGAAGGTGGGAGGCCAGGCAGGGTCTACCCGACCGCAGAGGAAGGTGGCGGGGAGCTGGTGGAGGGAGAGGGCACTGGCCCTGGATATGGGCTGGGGGCGCCTGGGTTCTGGTCAGAAGTGAGGAGGAGGTGCTGGAATAGAGCAGGGTCTGGCGGCTGGAAGTGGAGGAACCGGGAGAAAACTTGGAGAGTTTAGGGTGGTGGGGCGCTGGGTCAGGCTGGAGCTGAGGCCAGGTGTGGGTCCTGGTGTGAGGGTGGAAAGATAATGGGAGTGTGAGTGAAGCCCAGGAGCTGGCTGTGTCAGAAGACTGAGGAGGGGACTGGGCACTGGACCCTGTCACACTGCCACTTGGGATCACGGACGAGAAGAGAATCGTGGACAGAAAAATTCATCCACAGGCCCACTCTGTTCTGGAGTCCAAACATGGAAGGGACTTAGGATAGGGGAAGGCAGTGGCCTCTGAAAGCTAACAGAGGTGTGGAGGGGCGGGAGAAAGAAGGGCCCTCCATCCCAGCTTTCTAGAATCCAGGTGGAAAGGGGTGAGGGACAGTAAAAGGATTGGTTGTGTGTGTGCAAAGGAGAATGTCCACTCGTTCTGTGCCTATAAACAAATGAAGACAATGGAAGTCATGAAGGTCCTGTGTATGATAGTGGGAAGCCCTGGTGCTGTGGCAGTCAGAGGAGAGGCATTTTGGTGGAGGCAGATGGGTCAAAGGCAGCTTGCTGGTATCAGTGGAGGAAAGTGTTTCTATCAGAGGAAACAGTATGGGAAAAGGCAGATGTGTAAAATGATCTCCAGTCCAAGAAATAAATCTCCAGTTTCTTAAGGATTACAATATGAAGGGAGGCATCAGTAACTTACAGAGACTGTTCAAATAGATTTCCCCTCTAAGCTTGGAGCTCCTAGGGTTCCTCTCCATTTCCCCAAAGTACAGCAAGGGCCTGGCCCGCAGTAGGTGCTTAGTGAATGTTGACTAAATAAGTAATTGAGCTGTGGTGGTGCTCCTCAATTTCCTCATCTACCCACAAGAATTTTTGTGAGAATCAAACAGAATAATGTGGGTGAAAAGAGTTTTGTAAACTGTAAAGCAGTGTGCAAAAGAGAGATGCCGCTGATGTTCTTGTGCAGGTTTGCCTCAAAGGTGTGCCTACATTCTGTTAACCATCCTGCCCATGGCTATCACTTTCCAATGTAGAGAAGGAATGAAATGAACATTTATCAAACATCTATTGTGTGCAAGATAGAATGCATAGAAAGCATATTCCTAGTGGAAAGCTTGGCATTTAGTAGGTGCTTAATAAATGGTGGTATTATGATACTGTTTCTGTGGCTCTAAGAGATCTGGGAAAACAGTGAGGAGGTGCGCTGGGCTGGACTAGTGGTGATACATTGGCAGTGGGAAATAGCTTAAAGAAAGGATTATGGCTTTAGGGAGAAAAGGCATATAGTAGAGTAAAGTCCACATTTGCCCAGCTTCTTCCTTATCCTCATTGATAAATGCTTCCAGTAAGAAGACAGGAATTGCATTTATTGAGCACCTGCTATATTCCATATACTATGCTAGGCACATTACCCAGATTACCTATAATCTTCCCGACAATGCTTATTTTACAAACAAGGAAACTGTATCTTGCTCATATAAAAATTTTTGCCAACATCTCATAGCTAATAAGTGATAAAGCTGGAAACTGAATCTAGTCTGTTTTATTTGGAACCCCAAATATTTCCCCTACTCAAGATGACTTGCTAGTAGAAAATGTGAAACACAGAGACAAAAAACCCCAAAAAACCAAAAAAACAAACACTCTCCCATGTACTAGTTTTAATTCTTACAACAGTTTTGCCAGGGAGCCATATTATTAACTCATTTTATAGAAAAGGAAACTGAGGCTCAGGGTGTGATTTGCCTAACGTTACACAACTACTGAGACAGCCAGGGCTCAACCCAAGTCTCTCAGACTCAATCTCATGCATTTTCCATCAAAAGAGAGATTCACCCATTCACTTCTTTGCTGCATGTGTTGAGTTGATCTCTTCCTGATGGATTTTAGGGCTCTCTCCCCTTCTCGTCCCTCTTTCCTAGAGCTGGCTTCTTTAGGAGTGTATTTCTGCCACCCATCAGACTGAAAGGGTTATTTATTTTTCACAGCAACCCTTGAAGGAGCCATTTCTTTCTTTCCCCCCAGTCTGGGACTGGGGATGGTCCCTGGGCCTTCATCTGTATTGCTCCTCACGGAGACAGTGAGATGCCCAGATCTATCATTTTATGCGACTGTCACAAAAGAGAGGAAAGATTTGATCAATGTTTATCTTACAAATGCGGATCTGCACACAACCCTGTGCAGTGACCTGTCTGCTCAGATCTGCCTCAGGCGGCTGCCTGCTGGGCTGCTTTTTGCTTCTCTTCCAAATGTCTGTGTTGCCCCTGTCCCCCTCCTGAGAAGATCCCCATGGGGGCTTCCACCTTAATGTGCCTTTCAACTGAATCCTCAGCTCTCTGCCTCTCCCAATTCTCACACCACCTACTGGGAAAGCCATGCTGTGTGTACATAGCAGATGTTGACAGTACAGTATGGCAAGTACATGGTAATGAGATGCTTAGGGTGTTGGGGGTGCACTTTTACTCACCTTAAAATTGTTGTGTTTTTGTCTTCCTTAAGCCTAGGCAAATTTGGGAGTCATTAAGTAACAAAAGTTCTAGTCATGACCCTCTAAGTGACTTGCTTTGTGACCTCAGACAGATCGTTTCTGTTTGAGGAACCTCATTTAAAAAAAATTTTTTACCTGTACAATGAAGGGAGATGGATCAGACCAGAAATTGAACCTATTTTTTATTCTTACCATCACTCCCCACCTGTGGCAGGCATAGCTAATAAAGGCAGGCAAATTTCTCACTGATTTCTCATGTGGCCTGATGAGGCCACATGTACTTTTCTCAACAGAGTGTATGAAGCACACTTATATACATTCTCTTATTTAAAATTCCCAGCAGCCTTGTGAAGTAGGTATTATTATCAGATGAGGACACTGAGGCTTAGAGTTTAAGTGGTTTTCCCAAGTTCATACATTGAGTTACTGGGAAAGCTGGGACGAGTAGCCAGGCTTTTTGTTATGATAAAGCTGCCACTTGAAAATACCTTCTAATTCTAGCAATTTACGAGTATAAAGCTGGCCGCATCAGAAAAATGAAGAGTGGTAATATGACATTTACATTGATAGTCTGGCATATGGAAAATGCTTAAATATTTAGGGAAAGAAATAACATCCCCTAAGTGTTTACTATAGGTCTGTTGTTGACAGGGTGTGAGGATGGGTAAGACTCCCCTGAATCCAGAAGGGGAGGCAGACAGTTCATTGTAAAACAGGCCCATGTAATGGAGCCCCAATCAGAGGGGGCAGATGAACAAGATCTGACTGCAGAAATGAATTTAATGGGCCAGTGAAATAATATTTATTGAGTACTTCCCATGGGCCAAGAAATTGTGCCAGATTGTTTACGTACAGTACTGCTCATTCCATTTGTACCATAGCTCTGTGAAGTGGGTGGTGTTTTCTCTATTTTAAGGTAAAATGCTGTGGCTTACAGAAGCAATATGACTTGCCCAGTAATTCAAATGAGGGATATAGCAGCAATTTTAAACTTTTCCATAACACTGCAGGGTACGAAGTCTAGTCTCAGCTGTTAGCTGTGAGACGAGGGCAAATCCTCTTAATTTCTGGCCCTCAGTTTCCTTCTTGACAAGGTGGAAATAATAATTCATGTCCTTCCAACTTTATTTCCCAGGTTTATTTAGAGAATAAAATAAGATTAAAACAAGATAAAGGACCTGAAATTGATGTAAGGATCAAATCTGTTTTAGTAAAATTATCCTTTGACTAGCAATTCCACTTCTAGGGATCTCTCCCAAGGAAATAATTAGGAAAGGGAACAAAGATTATGCAAAAAAATTTTCACTGAAGTTTGATTTTTTAATGATTAAGAATAGAAAAACAACTGAAAATTAAAAACAACATGCTTATATATGCAAAGACTATCTCTGAAGGATACATTAATTGGTAACATGTTTGCCTGTAGGGAGGGGAACTGGAGATTGGGAATCAGGAATGGAATCCGCAAGATTTACTTTTCATTATAAAGCTTTAGATTCCATATTATTTATTTTTTATACTAAACACTAAGAAATAACACAAACTACAGATGGTGGAAAAGTAATACTTGCAAGTAGTAAAAATTTTTTTGAATTTTTCAATAAGTGTATAGTACCTTTTAAATTAACCTATAAGGTATAATTTAAAAATAGATGGCATTCTTGTGCATGAAAAAATATTGGAGGAAATACACTAAAATATTGACAGTAGTAGTTTCTGAGTGGGAAGGAGGCCAGCCAATTAAAAAAATTTTTTTTATACTTTTGTATAATTTACAAAATTTTTATAATGAGTGCATATTTTCATGGTAGAAATTTTGTAAACAAAGAAAGATGACTGGCAGCAGAGTGGAGGATGGTGTGAGGTCATTGTGGTTGTTTCCCTTGTTCTAGGTAGAAAAAGCATAATTCCTTTAAATCATCAATTCTTGCAATAGGTGTTGCACCTTGAAAAACTGAAAAGTTTAGGCTATTAGACAGTTTAAGCAGGCAGTGGCATCCCCGCCTCCAACCTCACTTTCTTTTTCCATGTAAATATGTAGATGCTATGTCTCAGTCTCCAAGTGTCCTGGGCATGTTCCACACCTGCCTAGTGAACCTTGTCACGGAGCAGATTGATACAAGGATGAAGGTGACAGTCTCAGATAAAAGCTTGAGAGCTGGGAGCAAAGAGAAGGAAGAACAGAGGCCATAGGAGGCTAGTGCTGACATATTTGAGGAAGTCTTTTTAAAGGGCTGCTAATAATTCTACATGTTTGTCTGATCTTTCTTCAAGAGAGCTTTAGACCTTCTACATTTGTCAGCTTCTTATTCTTACAGCTCACCTGAGAGGCACATAGAGCCACATCCACCAGTCAGTCTCACTACCTTTCTTTTCCTTTAGAGAAAAAAGCAGGAATTCCTAAAGAAAGTGACATTATCTCACATTAGGGCTGTCCTCCCACTCTCCTCTGACCACTCACCCAGTCCATCTGAGTACCCAGTGCTGAGCACAAGAAGAGATTTCATGAGGAGAAGCAGGGTACCTGAGCCTTTCAAGATGTAGAAGAAGCAGTTAAAGACTCAAATAAGACTATGTGACCAAGCGCTGGCTTATGGGGTTCAAATTAAAGTGTGCTAGGAAAAGAGACAATGGTGGCAGGTCTGAGAGGGCTGGGGTCTCAGGGAAGTCCTGACATATAATTAATATTTGCTGAATGAATGAGTGAGTGAATTGACAAAGTATCTAGGCTTTGAAGGATTTGGAATAATAAGGACTTATGGTCACACCTATGTGGAATTTACCAGTTTATAAAGGTCTCAATCATTGTTATCTCATTATCTCATTTGAATCCTGTAATAGCCCTGTGAGAAAAGCAGGGCAAAAATTGTTCTTCCTATCTCCCAGATGAGGTCCCAGAGTGATGAAGTAACTTTTATTAATTCAGCACATATTTACTGAGTGCTATTATGTGCTAGGATTTGTTCTAGAAGCCAGGCATACATAAATGAAGTACATTAAGTCCCAGATGCTCAGTCTAAAAGAGGAGCTGGAATAGTAAACCGTTCTGAAAAGATTCAAGTGCCCTTAGAGTGTTCTGAGAATGTAGGAGCAGGAGTGCATGTCTCTACCGTGCACAGGGAAGATGACACTTGACCTGGACCTACAAGGATGAATAGAAGTTTGTTAGGAGGAAAAGAGCATTCTAGGCAGAAGGAATACATGCATAAAGAGACAAAAGCAAGAAATAATGTGGCATATTTGGAGTAAAGTGTGTAATTTGATATAAGGGTAGCACAGGTTGGTGGAGAGAAGGATTAGAGGAAGATAAAGCTTAGAGAGTTGGTTCTTTGGTTAGTTGGTTCTTTGTCAAGGTGAATAGTTTGGGGTTGATCTTTAGAGCTGTGGGGAGCCATAAAAGTTTTTAAAGCAGGGGAATGATAGCCCTGTACTGAGTTCTTCCTGGAATGTTCACGTGTTTGCTCTGTTTTTGGCATTTTTTTCTTCTTCAAAACTCAACTCTTTGGCTTTTTCTTCTTCTTCAAAACTCAACTCAGGAGCTGCCTCTTACAGGAGACTCTCCTTGACCACCATGGCTCCAGGTTGGGTTAGATGCTTCCTGTGGACTTCCTCAGCCAGGCCTTCCCTCTGTGTTATCACTTACTTACTGTTTTACTCTATGTTTACCTGCTCTTTTATTCTAGTCTGTGGCCATCCAGAGGTCAGACATCATGTCTGATTCATATTTGTATTCCCCATGCCCAGCACAGGGCTTGACCCAGAACAATGTGCTTAGTAAATATTTGCTGAAAGAATGAATGGGAGGAGCTGGGTTCCACCCCAATCCTGAGACAACATTTGGAGCAGGTACAGTCTTGGGGTGATTCTGAGTAGTGTGCATTTCCTCAGTGATGCTGGAGTGGGGAGTGAGTGTGTGAATGACAGGGTGACCATTAAAAGATTGGTGAGTTGTGACACTGAAGGTGTGTTCCTGAGTGACCATAGGTCTCTCTTGCAGATGGCTTCAGTAACTGATGGTAAAACTGGAGTCAAAGATGCCTCTGACCAGAATTTTGACTACATGTTCAAACTACTCATTATTGGTAACAGCAGTGTTGGCAAGACCTCCTTTCTCTTCCGCTATGCCGATGACACCTTCACCCCGGCTTTTGTCAGCACTGTGGGCATTGACTTCAAGGTGAAGACAGTCTACCGTCACGAGAAGCGAGTGAAGCTGCAGATCTGGGTGAGTGCTGGACATCTTGGGCAGCATCGTCCTGAAAAGTGACTAGTTTGCCAGCACAAGGGTTGTGAGGTGGGGCTGGCTTGGAACTTCTGGGTCTCAGTGTCAAGTGTTAATGCTGTTTCAGGTCTGGGCTCTGGATGCCCCATGCTGGTTTTATGCAAGTTTGCTCTCCTCTGGGGGTTTAGTTGCTTCTGTTGATTAACTGTCCAAGAGGCTTTATATTGACTTGTGTAACTGAGTGACCAAGAAACTGAGCTTTGGAGTTAGAGACCTGGGTTCAAATTCTACTTCTGCCACTTACTAGATATGGAAACAACTAAATTTCTTTTTTAAAATTATTATTTTAACTTCTCGATATACATTATAGTCAATTTTCATGACCCCTTACCCATTCCTCTTCCCTCCTCCCTCACTCTCCTCCCCCCCCACATCATATCTGTTCACTTGTCTTAAAAATGTCAAGGAATTACAACTAAATTTCTTAACTTCTCTGGGACAACCTTTGTTCTTTGGGGATTATAATAGCATCTACATCACAGAGCTATTGAGTGCTTTGCATAATTCCTGGAGCATAGCAAATGCACAATAAATGTTAGCTACTGTATCATTTCTCTATTGTTGCATAACATATCATTTCAAAACTTGGTGGTATAAAACAACAATAATAATCCATTATCTCATAGTTTCTGTGGGTCGAAGATTTGGGAGTGGCTTGGGGTTCTCATGAGGTATAGTCAGATGTTGGCTTGGTTTGCAGTCATTTGAAGGATTGACTGGGATTGGAGGATCCACTTCCAAGGTGGCTTCCTGACATGCCTGATGTTGGCTATTGGCAGGAGGGCTTCCTTCCTTCCCATTTGGCCCTCTTAGAGTGTCTTCACAGAGCTGCTTAAGTGTCTTCACTGCATGGCAGCTGGCGTCCCCCAGAGTGAGAGGTCTGAGAAGCAAAGGAGGAAATGGCAATATCTCTTATGACTTAGCCTTAGAGTATTCCATTGGTTACTGATTCAATGTGGGAAGAAATCTACACAAAATTATGAATACTAGGAGGAAAGGATCACTGGGGACTGTCTTGGAAGCTGGCCACCACAACTACTATTATTGGTGTCCACCAATCGTACTAATAAAATATGTATATATTTTAGATGATATAGAAACATGTAGATCATATACTTTTCGATAATAAATTAGCACTGGGATTGGAAATTTTTAAAATTTGTGATATAAAGTACTCAAAACATGTATTGTTTATTATCTATTCATTCTACTTGTTCAGTGTATATTATTGAACATATATCTTATTGGGACAGTCTGTATACAGTACTTTTATTTTTATAAATTATATCTCATATATTAATATACCACACAATTAAAACTATGTGTTAGATATTTTAATACACCCATTTTGCAGAGGAAAAAACTCAGTCAGAGATTAACTAACTTGCCTTAAGTCAACCACTCAGCTATAAAGTGGGATTCAAACTCTGATTTTCTGATTCTAAATTATATGCTCTTTTCTCTACACAGTGCATCTATCTTCTAAAGCCCATATTTCCATTTATGATAATGCTAAATATTAATTTATACAGAAATAAAAGTTCATTTTGTTCATTTACTCTCTATTAAAGGCATTGAGGAATCATAAAACATTAGAAAGGGGAGAAGCTATACAAGTCATCTAGTTCATTTGTTTCCTAAGTTTGAACTCCAGACCAACAGCATCAGCATCACCTGAGAATTTGTTAGAAATGCAAATTCTTAGGCCTCACCTCAGACCTATTGAATCAGAAAATCTGGGAGCGGGGCCCAAGTCTATGCTATAACAAGTCTTCTAGGTGGTTTTGAGGCAGGCTAAAATTGGTGAACCAATTATCTAGTTTAACTGCCTTGTGGTGAGAGTCAACAAGCATTTAATAAAAACACCTATTATGTGCCAGATGCTTTCACTTGTGTTATCTGACATCATCTTTGCAGCCAATGCACAGAGGACTGTGAAAACACAGGGTATTTGGGGCATGGTGAGCAATACAGTGAAACTGGATTGAGGCAGGGAGGGGATGCCAAGAAAGAAATTTGCTGGAGAGGCTACAGGTTACAGCTTGGGGGTCAGGGAAACCTTGTTCAACAAACAGAGGGTTCTTGGCAGAGAGTACATGCCTGAGAACTGCTTTGGGAGCTGAAGAAATCATTACAGCTTATTTTTATCTATGAATATAAAATAAATTAATTTTCACTAATATTTACCAAGTGGTTTGATGCAGATATCTTCATTTGATTCCAATATCAGATAATCACATAACCTATACTCAAAAATCTTGAAGTAGGAGGAGGTATTCTGCCCTTCTAAGGGGTGGCAGTGGTGGCTCCTTCATTCTTTTGTTCATTTTCAGCCTTTTGTGGTTTAACTTTGCCTGGTTAAGTGGATTTATTGGTTATATTATCTAGTTTTAACTAAATGAAACCTCACAATGGATATGTGGTTTTTAAAGAGCCCTGTAAAGAAACCTCTGACTGAAGACTATACTAATTATAGAGAACCCAAGTGAGCATAAGAAAATGGTTGAACTGATATTTCTCTGACTCCCAGTACAAGTTCATCATCAGACACGTTTCCGGGTAAAATCAATGACTATCTGATTAGATCTGACATAGTCAATCACATTACTTTTGCAAAAAAAAAAAAAAAATTAGCGAAGTATTTTTGTGTGTGCATGTGCTTTTATGTAGCAAAAATAAAGTTTTCTGTACTGTTCATAAATACATTAAAATTTAAATATTGTTTACTTCATTTAAAAATTTTAATATCTTTTGTGTTCAGAAGTAGATATGTATGTGTATACAATCTATATATATATATATATATATATATATATATAGTGCATACTACACCTGAATTTTTCTTACATGCTACCCATTAGTCACTTAGTAGCTGTCTTGGTTATCAAATTGAAAAAACATTCTGTATATAGGGTTTGGTACTATCCGCAGTTTCAGGCATCCAGTGGGGGTCTTGGAACTTTTCCCTCTCCAATAAGGAGGGACTACAGTAATTGTAAAGGGTGAGGGAGGAACACATACATCTATTTATATATATCTACTTGCGTACATAAAAGTTCTGTGATTTTTTTTTTATGCTGTTTGAGCTTTGGTAAGTCGCTTTGCTTCTATGAATAGATATCTTTGACTATAAAAGCCTCACAGGTTTGCTGAAGGGGGCTAAATGTGATAACAAAATATTATGTCTGGCACATACTAGGAATGCAATAAATGTTAGGTTCGTTCCTTTCTCTGTCTCTTGGTCCACATGCAAAGGGTCACTGGGTCGCCTCCCAAGGATTCCCATCTGCAGTTGCACGTGTGCAGTGACTCACTAGCACAGTATAAAATGTTCAATTAAATTCCTCCAGCCCATTTGATCTCTCCCAGGGGATTTCAGAAAGCCATTGTCAGGGTGAAAGTTGGAGAGGGAAGAAGAGTTATGAGCATTGCTGAGCAGAACCACCCACAAAAGGAGTTTCTGTCATCTCTGTGGGATCTTGGATGATGAGGGCATTAGGAATGCCTTATTCCCTGGGGCCCCTCACCACATGAGTCTCTGAGAGCCTCCTCTGTTTCCTAAGAAGTTTACTATTGTGGATCAGAGAAGAAAATCTTACAGAGGAGAGGGGGTTTGGGGAGAATTTTCATTAAAAGGGTGTGAGAGCACGCATGAGTGTGAGGGGAGCTAGACTTGGTAATTCCGCAGAAACAACCTGACTAGAGGCCACTTACTACTGGGTGCTGGTTGCCAAGCAACCCCTGGAGACCTGTAGGAAGAGGAGAGAAGGAAGGGGCTTCCACCACCTCCCTGTGGGGTCCATTGCAGAGGCTGTCAGGTCTGGTGCTGGTCAAGGGAAGAATCTGAGGTTCTGTGGGAGGACTGAGCTAACCTAGGACTCTGGAATCCTGGGTTCTAGTCCTGTTTCTGCCCTGTAGTCATTGTGTGATCTGGAGTGGCCCTTCCCTCCATGGGCCTGTTTCCCCAACTATCAAATGGGGAAATAATCTTTGCTGTCCTTGCCTCATGAGTTGTTGTGAACATCAAGTGAGGAAATGGAAAGGGAAGCCCATGGAGAACTATGAAGTCTTGAATAGATCAGAAGGACTGTGGGTATTGTCAGCCATGCACATTCTTCTTGTATGTGCTTTAAATCATTCTTTGTTTCTTTCACACCTTCCCTCTGACCCAGGGAGGTAGTTATCTCCTTAAAGAATGGGTGGCTGAGGCCAGAGATGTCAAGTTACCAGTTCAGAGCCAAAATGTAAACTTCATTTTTCATTCCTTCAATAGACATTTATCTGGTACTCACTCTGTGCCAGGGGTGGGGATACAACCTTCCTACCCTCATGGAGTTTATGCTCTAGCAGGGAAGATAGACACTAAGTACATGAATGAAAAGGATCCCATTTCAACTGGTAAGGGCCCTCTGAAGGAAAGAATAAACTTGTGTCAATCTCAGGTAGTGAGACTCAGAGCTTGGGAGTTCTTGAACAGTGACTTAGGTCCTATAACTTGACGTGCAGCTTGGGTTCAGGCTCAACTCTACTCATAACTTAAAAGGCTAGCTTAGCTGATGAGCTTCACCACGTCAGCTCTCCCCAGGCCTGGTTCCTGCCAGGGGATGCAGTGACAGGGGCCTCCACTGTAGAAAGACAGAATCTTATCTTTCCTACTCCCACCAGTGAGACTTTTTTTGGTGACCTGCATGTCAAGAAGACTTTAAAGATAGGAGTGTCTTAAGTGTCTGAGGGGAATGGGGACCAGCGAATGGACTGGCTGGGCTCTCCAGCATTCTTCTATTGCAGATTCAAGGAATCTGTCTTTTGTGAAGGACTTAGAGGCCACTGTCCTTGCTCCTTGGTCTGTCCTGGTATTGCCATTATCCTTCCTCTTTCTCTTCAACTTCCTCCTCTGAGGTCCTCAGCCATCATGGCACTTGTGTGTACCTCCATTAGCCCAC